TTTCACTTGAGCGTTCGCTTAACCAACCAAAAGCCACCCGCGTTTGTGTCCGTTCGATAAACCAATGAAATCACTCTATTTCCGTTCGTTTGTTGTTTCAGCTGTCTTATTCGGACGTTTTCATTTCAAACGAAATGTCATACGAAAATCGCTCTATAATGCCAGTTGCGCGCTCTTATTGGCTATGAAACATGCGAAATTACCAAAGAACGACAAAATTGCAGCTTTTTGTCAACAAAATGTCTTTCAAGCATTATATCATTCGTTAAACAACAAAAAATAATGAACTTTGAAAAACTGATAGGCTAACTAGTTTTCAAAAACCACAATTGCAATCCGTTTCAATCTTCTTCGAGTTTGTCCATCTGCGCTTTCTTTTCTATTTGCTGTGTCGTTTATACCCTCTTCTAACTTTTTGAGCGGTTATTTTTGTTTCACTTAATTTGGTGGCTATTCCCTCTGTTTGAACTTTGATAAATTTCGTAACACAGCTCCTTTAGGATCTAAAGGGAAAAAAATGAATATAACATAAAAGAATGGGCACGAATCTGCACATGCGCATTACTTGTGCATCTGTCGTTTTCCTAATCTGGTATACCGCGCCTGTTATTTCATAAGGTGCAAAAAAGGATAGTTGGTATTATTACCCACCTGCACCGCCACCACCTCCCCCACCACCGCCACCACCACCCGGTCCCCCCGGATTAGATGGACTAATGGGACCACAAGGACCTCGAGGACCGGACGGACCAAAAGGTCCCCCGGGGCCTCCAGGACCTCCTGGACTACCCGGCATTCCAGGATATCCAGGAAATCCTGCCGGACCCCCCGGACGAGATGGGCCACCAGGACCACCCGGACCACCAGGAGGCCAAGGTCCACCCGGAGATATGGGACAGATGGGAGCCCCCGGTGGAGCCGGTGGTACCGGAGTGCACTCGCAAAAGAGAGAATTAACGAAATATGGAGCAATTACAAGACCAGCGTGAAGAACAAAAGACCAAGCATCAATGAAAGACAAATTAAACAAGAGGACATTCATCTCTTGCCAACTTTCAGCTATTTTTTAGTGTCGAGCTTGTACTACGAGTCTTTTTTGTACGAAAATAACGCCATTTTGTATTTCCGTTTCAAAAAAACAATAATTGAAAAATATTAAAATGCAGAAATGAAGATAATTTTGAAACAAATGACGAAGAACACATGTTTAGATTTAAATTCCTTTTTGATCGTCTAGCTGTCTTATATTCCTTTCATGTAGTTCAGAGTTTTTGAAAAAAAATAATCGAAGAAAGCACGATAGAAATGATGAGAGAAAGCTACGGCAGATCTTCTCGCACGTGATAAGAACTGATTCCGATTTAATGTTGTAAGAAAAAGTTAAATAAAGACACACTGTCTGATTGCTTTTCTATCTCCTCTCTCCAACCAGGGGTTTGGGCATAGATTACACACATTTTTTTAATGTTCTTGTCAGGGTTACATCTTGCAGTCGATGATAATACCAAGACGCAGAGAGACGGAATTTACTCAGTAAATCTTCAAAGATAGCTACCGACCAATAGAATTTTGACTAGTCTCGATTTTTGTCGCGCCATGTAAGGTAATCCAAGACAGTCTTGAATTCAAGATTCCAGATTCCCGGTACTGATTCCTGATTTTCTGCCAGTGGAACTTGGATTCCAATCGTTAGAGGCATATCTGATTCCCTGAACTAAATTCCGGATTCTAAAGCCCAGGATTTCGGATTCCACGAGCAAAAATTCCCTAGATTCCAGAATCCGGATTACCTAATATTGGGCGATATATAAAAGGGCTTCTTAGTTTGATTCATGGGACGGCCATTGGCCAATTGGCTGAGCAGAAGGTATAGACATGATTGAAAAAAAAAGAGGCTGTTAAGGCAAGATAAATTGTCTACGTCCTTGTTACCAGTAAAGACAACGAAGTTTTACCTGTGGCTTCTGGGAAGTGCTTAACATAGATTTAGAATAGCCTTGTCCGTAATATTAAATGTTCTGGGCCTCCTTATTCAACCGATTTTAGCTTGGGAGTAAGAAGGCACCCCTTAAAATAATATAGTTGGAAGTGGCAATACCACCCTTATATCAAGAAAGATATAGAAAGAGAAAAAGAGGACTTGGTTTAGTAGCCTTCTGTTCCGAAAAAAACCATTGCTAGTCACTAAACAGATTTTGCGAGTACAGTATATAATAGACTAACATTCTAAGCTAAGATACAACTGATTTGGTTTCGGATGCACCAACCGGAGAGGATTAAGTTTCCTACGAATTAACCGGTACCTCTATCCACGGCTCGAGTCTCGTTTTCGCGTCGGAAAACATTGAGATTCTTGGAAAACAAAATGAACTGGTTACATGGGAACCAGTCATAGTTAAGAGATTTGTCATATGTCCCATAGAATATTTTTACAGCGTTACAATTAACAAAAGTAAATCTCAGCGTGTGGTCAACATTAGCGGGTAACAGGGCACTGTTACCCTCTGACTGGGGTCATAGATTTGGCAACGTTGCCAGCACAGAGACTTTTGGCGGGAAACAGTTTTATTGTTAAATGTCATGTGACCTCGAAGTAACCAAGGAGAGTGCGCACTGTTGGAAAACGTTCCAGGCACGCAGAGAAAAAGGTCGGTTGTATTGCTTTCTGCGAATCCCAGATACGTGATTGAAAAAGGAGGCCATGGTTCAGTTCTCTGACTCCCTAATACTTATTGCGTGCGTTGTGAAGTGTACCCTGACTGGATCAATAATTACATTGTCTTCACTCTAGCTGATTACATGATAGTTACCTTATTGCTTCGAGCCCCCAGGCGAGAAGCACATTAATATTTGGGTGTCCTGTGGTTCCTTGGTTGTCCTGTCCCTATTCAGGCGTTACAATCTGGATTTACTTTTTTAGGATGATTTACAGCAAATATGTCCAGAGCGGAGTCATCATAAGTTAATTTCAGATCATAACACTATTATTGCGTCATTTGAATTGCGCTAAGTTTCGCACATTGCTCCTCGTGCAAACAGTTTTCGGTTATTTTCGTATTACTGTAAACTAGCCAATAAAGATCCAAATCACAAAGATCTCGTGAATGTAGGACTCCCTAGTATACTTGTAGGCCTTTTGCCCACAACCATTAATTCTCAGTGACCCATTTAAAGGATCGCTAGTTGGCATAATGTGTATGAAAGTTATGGTTTGACTTTCTCTAGCCTACGAGCAGGCTCATTTGTTCGAGTTCGGGGCGGCAGAACCGCCATCCTGCGAGGGGAATTGGCCGAGGAAAAGATCTTTTCCTCTGTAATTCCCCTCGCGGGATGGTGGCTCGCTGCCGCCAAAATTTTCCTTTTCGCACAAGAGAACATGCTCGCAGGCTATGATTGCTGCTCAGCATCTGCTCGCAAGCATTATACAGTGGAACCCAGCTTTACGAAAGCCCGCTTAATTAACGGACAGTTTCGTTTGTCTTAATGGAAAGCCCATATATTTTCTCTAAAATTCTTAAAACGGACACGGTTTATTATGGACAACGGACACTTTTCTGTGTCCCGAGTCACAAACTCTCATATAACTTCAACCCCGTTTTACGGACACTGGTAACCCGAGCACTCTCTGCTATTTTCCTTGGAACAATCAGGTGCAAATTGTAGACATTGTACTCAGTTAAAATAATAACAGATTTCTATAAGTCAATACGATTTTATTACTTAAAAATAGTAGCTAAAAAACGTGACATGTTTGAAGTCAGTCTTTCTTCCCGAGTTTGACCCTTGTACTAAAGCTTTTTACCTCCTACTACACAAGTTTGACTTCTTTGGCTTTATGCTGCAGTCGTTGGTCCTACCGTTGTCTGTTTTAGCCTTTATCAAAAAATTATTAGACTTGCTACGAGTCCACCTCTCATGAGTTCTTAAAAGTGAGTGAAGCGAGTTTCAATGCGCTTGCATGAGATCGCGCAACGACCGAGCGAGCGACGAAGTCTTGAGGTCGACTTTTTTGGCCTGAACGGATTTCAATCATATTATCAATTCAGGCGGGAAAAAAATGATTGACATGTGCTGTGTCGGGAGCGGCGTGAAATCTCACTCCCTTTCCCATTGGTCAATTGTCATGACGTCACCGGTAGAATTTTCGAGCGGTGAATTTCGCGCTAACCAGAAAAAAAATAATAATAAAGGACTTTTCAGTAAGTCTAAAAAATCAATTGTGTCCGTAACGTTTTCTGTGAAAGCCCGCTTAATACGGACACTGCATGGCGTTGCCTCCGTAACCCATTCAGGGTTCGTACAGATTTTTGGATCCAAAATTCAAGAGTTTTTCCAGACTTTTTTCCAAAACAATATTTTTTCCCAGACCCAAAATTATCAAATAGGTGATCAATAGACCATAACAAGGCAGGAAAAGCGTTTTTCATAATGCACTGCAAACCTACCGCCAAGATTGAATAAGATTCGCCTAAAACAAAACAAAAAACTTCTAAAGAACTTGTTGTAGCTTTCAAAAAAAAAGCTTAAGACTTTTTACCATTTTTCCAGACTTTATACTACTACATGAGAAGTTTCTGTAATTTGATTGGCTTAGAGCAGCGGTATTTCAGCTTAGTTTGAAATACCTACATATGGAAATTACAAAACCATTGGGGGTATTAGTATAAACAAATAATAGCATGATTTGTACGTGATATTTGGAATAAATACCACTCATGATATTTCAAAATTACGTATAACAATTTCGAAATATCACTAGTGGCATTTATGCCAAATATCACTTAAAATCATGCTATTACCTATACTTATCTCTATTTTACAGACTTTTCCGGGTCTGGAAAATTGCTGGGCAAATTTCAAGACTTTTTCAAGAATTCAAGACTCAGTACAAACCCTGCCTGTTGTTTCTAACTATGGCTGTCATTTAATTACTAGGTGCTAAGAAGGATAGCTGGTATCCTTATCCATATCCACCTGCACCACCTCCTCCACCCCCACCACCTCAAACACCACCGGGTCCCCCCGGACCTGACGGACCAATGGGAATGCCGGGACCACGAGGACCAGACGGTCCCAAAGGCCCCCCGGGCCCCCCAGGACTTCCAGGACCACCCGGAATACCAGGATATCCAGGATCACCCGCTGGACCTCCCGGTAGACCGGGACCTATGGGACCACCAGGGCCAGCAGGGGGACAAGGACCTCCAGGCGATATGGGTGCTATGGGACCCGCCGGAGGGGCAGGAAGTGTCGGGCAACATTTGGGAAAACGAAGGCAATCAATCCCGAAATTGTAAGAGTAGCAAGAGAGATAGAAAGCCTGACAACAGGAAAAATATAAGTATAAAAGGACTNTCCACCTGCACCACCTCCTCCACCCCCACCACCTCAAACACCACCGGGTCCCCCCGGACCTGACGGACCAATGGGAATGCCGGGACCACGAGGACCAGACGGTCCCAAAGGCCCCCCGGGCCCCCCAGGACTTCCAGGACCACCCGGAATACCAGGATATCCAGGATCACCCGCTGGACCTCCCGGTAGACCGGGACCTATGGGACCACCAGGGCCAGCAGGGGGACAAGGACCTCCAGGCGATATGGGTGCTATGGGACCCGCCGGAGGGGCAGGAAGTGTCGGGCAACATTTGGGAAAACGAAGGCAATCAATCCCGAAATTGTAAGAGTAGCAAGAGAGATAGAAAGCCTGACAACAGGAAAAATATAAGTATAAAAGGACTGAGCAGCAGAAAAACTCTTTGTTATTCACTTGCCATTTCTAAACAGTACATCTCGGTTTGCACATTTAAGAGGATATTCCTTTTTTTACCGGAAGATCCACATTTTGTATTTTAAGGCTCAGAAAATTAACTTAATCAGGAGAGGATACATAACGCATACTAAACCAAACAAAGTTAATTTTTTAAAGAACCAATTAATTATTAGACGGCGCAAATATATATTACATCCACTAACATAAAATATTTGTCGGTAGCGGCAGCAGAACTGAAATGCATAGCTTTCTTCTATGACGTCAAGTTGTTATATTCTATTCAACAAGGAAAAGATCATTCCAGATACCAAAAAAGTAAAAAACGCACAGTACAATTTTTCAAACGGTAGAAATGATATTTAAAATAAAATAGTAAACGAAATCGGTGTCTGTGTTCAATAACTGGCCCTTAAATATATTACTTTAGGGAGGGCGTTGTTGTTGTTGTTGTTGTCGTTTGTCTGTTTGTTTGTTTGTTTGTTTTCTTTTGCATTTTGGGAGAGACAAAATCCATGAAACCGATTCCCAGTTTTCGAATTCGTCCCAAGAAAAAAAGTACGGATCGTAGTTCCATAGATTCTAGAAAACCGACCTCTCTAGGCTCAGTAATTTCCGGGATTTCCAAAAATGGGCTCCAGCCTTCAGTTGTTCAAAAGGTGGATTTATCTCTATCCAGTGGATAACGCAATCAGTTTTCATTATACTTATCCGCTGTATAGCGCTATATAACGTTTGAACAACTGGGGACAGAAGACTACCCTGGCCCCAGAGGTCCGTTCTCGCAAAAACCTATGATGAAGTAAAATGTGCTTACAACTGTGAGCTAATAGTTTAGACAAAAAGCCTTTGGCACCGAGAGTACCGGCCAGAAGACAAAACCATATTTCCTTGCTTGAGTCTCTCAACCTGGGACACAATACCACAGCTTCATCAGAAACAAAGCTTTTATTAAATAAAAACTTATTAAGAAACTTTTACAACCAATCATTTTCGTTTAAGTTATTTCTTCCACTCATTCTCTCTGCCACACTAACCTTAGTGCTATAAATAATGCGAGGGTAAAAAACAAAGTTAGTATTTCTACTGATATACTTACGAAATTATCATTGTCAGGTCAAAACCTAGCTCCCTCTATAGGTTTTTTCATTTCTTCTTTTTTTATCTTTTTGATAATTGCTGGATGCTTAAAGGTAACAAAATACCTTCTAGTTTTCCTCATAATTTTAACGGAAGACCTTTCAACAGTGAAGTTTTTTTTAACGTCGAAGTACGGGTGACTTTTGTTCTTTCTTTTTTATAACCCTAGTAGTGTTTAAACTGAGTTCAAAAACTATTGTATATTTTTATTTTGTGTTCACTTAACTTCATTTGCATGCACGTAAGTAAAATTAACTTCAAACATTTATAGAGCGTTTTCACTCACGTGGCCAGCATCTTTGCTAATTACACAAGAAAAGAGTTTAAAACTCCCACAAGACTGGCTTGGGACACCAAAATGGCCCCTGTGACGTCATGCGAAAACGCTCTCTATGTATTGCGGTCACGGAGTTCACACTTCTTTACGAACTACACGTGTAACATTTTCTAATCACGTTTCACTTTAACATTAACGCGGTGCCAAGCATTTGACAGTACACCACGCAAGTTCCAAATGGGAGCTACGCTGTCAGGCTGTGAATTATACGATGAATCGATAGCTTTGACACAAATCTCAAGCGAGTCCTTCCCTTCCGGCAAAGGTAGAGTTGCTTGCCATAGTTTCCAGGCCCACGCGCGGTTAATCTTATTATCGCCTATGAGGTTTGCTACCTGCCAAGTTTTGCCGCCGTCGAGGGAGACGTCAACTCGCACGATGCCCCGCCCACCTCCGCTCCACGCGTAGCCCTTGAGTGATATTTCTTCATCATCTGCGGAGATGACAGCACCCTCGGCTGGTTCACAGATTGCCGATGTTACTGGTAGATCTTGAATAGCAGGAGCCGTGGTGAAATCAACGGTATCCCAATCAACGCAGGGCGAAAATCCCTTGTAATCATTTTTCTGCCAATGTCCGGTGCATTCTTCTTTACTTGGGACAATTTTCTTCAGCCATTTCACGTTACGAGCGCCCACTATTCCTGGAGCAACAAGTCTGACGGGGAATCCGTGATCCCGCGGGATGGGATCCCCGTTCATTTCATAGGCGACAAGAACATCTCTGTCAGCTGCTAGCGCGGTGTAGACTGGGATGGAGGCACCGTATGTTGAGCCTGTGATGTCGTGGTCAGCACCCTCAAACTGTATGTGTTCAATTCCTTTTTCGTCGAGGCCAGCGTATCTAATGATCGACAAAAATTAAGTTTCTAAAATTCTTCCCCCTTCTAAGAGACTACCACAAACGTAAAAGATTTTTTTCAATTGGTAATGGAACACTTTAGTATTGACTGGATGTACGACATATGTAATCAGAATACAGGAGGAAAAACATTTAAAACTAAAATATGCCATGAAATTGCTGTTGTGTGCAAAATCCGCAAACATTTAGTGCTTCTCACTATGCAGCGATAGACAGCGTGGTTTCCATGTCAAGGATCTGAATGATCAAATGAAAGAAACTACTGAACGATGCGATCACAGAGATTGCGCGTGGATTTTGGTTCTATTTTAAAGCTGGTTTTCATAGAATTCCTAAGATTCTTTTATATGTGGGTTGAGTTTTTTGTTGGTTCTCTCCCTGGTTCCGAGAGGTTTTTCTCAGGGTACTCGGGTTTTCGCCTATCCAAGGTTAAAAACGAACACTTTCAAATTCCAATTCGATCTGGAACGCACGGATACGTTTCAACGAGTTCTTAAGAACTCCTAAGTGCTCCGTGGGTAAACAAATTACAATTACAATAACAATTAATTTCATGTACCTTTATTATACCCGGAAGAATAGAAATTGGTCTATAATTAGGGTGCTTGCCATTTGAATTTCTAACCGGAATTTCCGGTTTTCCCAAATAAACGGTATAAGTACTCTCGTTGTCCAATACACACGTTTTGGGGACTTTTTTATTAGGGAGAACGGGCAACTAAGGCAATTTTCCTATCAAAAGGGAAAGTTTATAAAATAAGCGAGATATTAAAAATTTGGTAAGAGGTTATGAAATTACTGCAGGAAGAGGAAGACATTCTATATTCCGATGGTTTTAGATTCTGATAGCGAAATAAGTCAATTGTAGACCACAGATATACCTATAGTTTTAAAACAGAAATTTCTGTCAACTTCGGTAATGAACTCGTAAAAACTGGGACACTGGGGGACCAAACTAACCAACGGGATTATGGGATTGAGTTAAAATTTGGATCGGGAGGACGAGATTGAAGGACCATACTGGGGACGCTCTTTCTATGCATCTGATGCATTCAGCCACCCACCCTTGGGTTGATTTTGGTAAAATATTCATTAAAATGATCATGACTAGCCCCCGTTGCCTTGATTGGACCTGCACACAGAATTCAATAGAACTTTCACCTTGAAACATTTTATTGAGTACATGAAGAGAAAAGATCATTATTAACTGAATTTAGCGAAGGTCCTTATTTCACGACGGTAACTCGTAACAGCACTCATTAGACTAACAAACCTAGCACCCACGGTGCGTTCATTTTAGCCCCCTCCCCCTCCCTCTCAGTGCTCCGTTTCGGGTATTTAACGCTACTTAAAGCTTAATGGAAAGGAAACAACGATTTCAGACGAGAAGGTTTTTTACACTCAGCTTGGTTTTACACATGACACAGGTTGAATTAGCGAAGACATATGAATACGAATTTCTTAGGAAACCAAAAATGTAGCCTTTAAATAGGAAGCGAGTTGGGATCATCCAAATATCAAAAGCTAATCTAGTGGATGACAACCCCTCCCCACCTCAAAAAAAATTAAAAAGGTATTTATACAGCCTATACTGCTATTAACGGCAGATAAATTTTTAATTAGAATAACAATTAAGCATAGAGGCTTTTAGGGCTTTACAAAATAGCTTAAGAGACTGTAAATTAGTTATATTTGTTGCGGGGAATTCCAAGCGAGAACCAATGAATTTAGGAACCTGAAGCCATATTGGGTGGTATTGACAGAGGCTTGAAAAAGACTTCCAGAACATGATTGGCGCGTTGGATAGGGATGAACAGAAGTTGTACGTTTAAAATACTCATTGAAAGACCAAAGTGAGTTTGGAATCGAACTCGGGGCCTCCCGAACGAGCCGCGCACTGGCCGACTGTGCTAATCAAGGATTATGTGTATGGTGTATAAAGGTGAATGGAGTCAACACAATACCTGAGTACATCTATCAAACGCGCTCCAGACCACTCAGCAGTGCTTATAGCAGCTGCCCCCCAGTCCAGTCCTTTGACCTTCTTGATTTGATTCATTTCACTGCGTCTGCTTCCTGCGCACTGAATGGTTGACATCACTGTGTGTTTTGGAAACTTGCTTTTGAGCTCCTGAATATCAAAAAAAAAGTATGTTTCCTTGCAAGGAATTGTTTGGTGTATTAGATTTAAATATTGTTTTAGGTAAAGAAAGAGCCTGCAGGCTCGTGGAAAATTTGCGGAGCGCGAGCTAGTGAGAAGAATGGGGCGAGGTTTTGCCGCCTCAAGTCAGTTTTAACGACTAAAGTTACGCAAATTGGTCCATTTATAAACGTATTTTTTTTCTTTTACTCAAACGTCTCACAACTTGGGCGTGCTCGTACTGAAGTCAAAAAAAGCGTTTCAACCTTGTTGCTCGGCTTCGCGTTAACAGTTTTCAAGTTTTTTTATTTTTTTTCTTTTCGTGGGAGTTTTTTAATTGTTTTCGCCGTCGTCGAGTAAGGTCATGTCACCCGATTTGTAAAGGACTTAAGCTGCGGTAAAACGCGCAACAAAAACGTGCAACTTGTTTTTGACACTGCTGCAAAACGAGTCGAATAGCGATGATGCGTGCTTTACCACCGACGAACCAAACCTGTCTTGCAACACATCAGGTTGCAGTAGGTTGCGAAAATTTATTGCAGAAAGTAGTGAGTATTTCTACTTTTTGCTACAAAATCTGTACTCATGTTGCGCAGGCACACGTAATTTAATCCAACTAGAAGTCAGTATTCACGCAACTTGCAACTACCTTATTTGCTGCAAGACAAGTTTGAACGCGACTGATAAAACGCGCAACAATACTTTTCAACTCGTTTTCTAGCAATGTTGCAAAACAAGTTCCACGTTTTTACTGCCCCGCCGTAACGTAGCTTTAAGTAATTCTGAGCCACATTGAAATTGCCGAGGATTTTTTTATTTAAAAAAATTTTCCGTTAAAACATAATATTGACGCCATGAAAGAAAAAAAAAACTATTCAATAAATTTGGCAAAGGTCCTTATTTCACGCCGGTAACTCGTAAAACCACTCATTAGACTTACAAACATGGCACCCCGGTGCGCCCCTTTTACCCCCCCCCCCCCCCCCGCCTCCCCCCCTCCATCAGTGCTCCTTTTCGGGGATTTAAAGCTACTTAAAGCTTCATGGAAAGCAAACAACGATTTCAGACAAGAAGGTTTTTTTCCGCTCAGCTCGGTTTTATACATGACACAGATTGAATTAACGAAGACAGCATAAGAATACGATTATACTAGTAAGGACAAAAATGTAGCATCTAAATAGGAAGCGAGTGGGGATCATCCAAGTATAATAAAGCTAATTTAGTGGATGACCCCCAAAAATACAATTACACATAAAATCAAAGAATATTACTTTAATCTAGGAAAGGTATTTACACACCCTATACTGCTATTAAAGGCAGATATATTGTTAACTAGAATAACAATTAAGAATAGAGATTTTTTTTTTCTTTACAAAATAGCTTAAGAGATTGTAAATTAGTTATATTTGTTGGGGGGGGGGGGGGGGGGAATTAGGCGTGAACCAGTGAACTTAGGAACCTGGAGCCATATTGGGTGGTATTGACAGAGGCTTCATAAAGATTCCCAGCACATGATTGGCGCGCTGTATAGGGATGAACAGGAGTTGTAAGTTTAAAATACTCATTGAAAGACCAAAGTGAGTTTGGAATCAAACTCGGGGCCTCCCGCACGGGAGCCGCGCACTAGCCGACTGTGCTAATCAAGGATTATGTGTATGGTGTATAAAGGTGAATACAGTAAACACAATACCTGAGTACATCTATCAAACGCGCTCCAGACCACTCAGCAGTGCTTATAGCAGCTGCCCCCCAGTCCAGTCCTTTGACTTTCTTAATTTCATTCATTTCACTGCGTCTGCTTCCTGCGCACTGAATAGTTGACATCACTGTGTGTTTTGGAAACTTGCCTTTGAGCTCCTGAAATATCAATAAAAAAGTATGTTTCCTTGCAAGGAATTGTCTGATATACTGGATTTAGATATTGTTTTAAGTAAAGAAAGAGCCTGCTGGTTCGTGGAAAATCTGCGGAACGCGAACCGGTGAGAAGAACGTGGCGAGGTTTTGTCGGCTCAAGTCAATTTCAACGACTAAAGTAACGTAAATTAGTCCATTTATAAATGTTTTTTTTTTCTTTTACCCAAGCGTCTCACAACTTAAGCGTGCTCGTACTGGAGGCAGTAGGCAAGCGCAGATGAAGTCAAAAGACCTGTTTTAACCTTGTTGCTCGCTGTCGCGTTATCATTTTTCCAAGTTTTTTTTTTCGTTTCGTGGGAGTTTATTTTTGGTTTTGTTTTCGCCGTTGCCGAGTAAGGTCATATCACCCGATTTGCAAAGGAGTTAAGGTACGGTAAAACGTGCAACAAAAACCTGCAACGAAAAGCGATGATGCGCGTTTTACCACCCACGAACCAAACCAGTCTTGCAACAAATCAGGTTGCAGTAGGTTGCGAAAAATTATTGCAGAAAGGAGTGAGTATTTCTACTTTTTGCAACAAAATCTGTACTCATGTTGCGCAGGTACGCGTAATTTAATCCAACTAGAAGACAGTATTCACGCGACTTGCAACTACCTTATTTGCTGCAAGACAAGTTTGAACGCGACTGATAAAACACGCAACATTACTTTTCAACTCGTTTTGTAGCAATGTTGCAAAACAGGTTGCACGTTTTTACTGCCCCGCCGTAACGTAGCTTTAAGTAATTCTGAGCCACATTGAAATTGCCGAGGATTTTTTTATTCTTTTCGAATAGGTTGCGTCCAGGGGTTCATCAATCCAATCTTAGATCGGACGGGGAGATGTTACTCGAGGATTATAGTGTACGATCAAAGAAGACACTTAGAGACAGGACTTTCAAAGTAGCCGCCCCTAGAATCTGGAAGATTTTACCGAAGGACATTAGGAAACAGGGCAACTATTATGCTTTTAAGAAACAGCTAAAGACTTATTATTTTAAACTTGCATACAATTTTTAATTGTACATAGGTGTATATTAATTTTGCTCTCTCTTTTTTTCTTTATCAATTTTAATGAAACATATATTATTTCTTTTAGTTATAATTATTGTAAGTAATAGGTTAAGTACTAAATAATTAAGTTAGGTATCATTTACGGATATATTCATGTTTAATTCGATAATTAATATATTTTTAGTTAGCTTTAATAGTTTGTAATGCGCATTTGATCATTTGATAATTTGTGCAATACCAAATAATAAATATTATTATCATTATTATTATTATTATTATTATTATTATTATTATTATTCACCTCGGCTCAAACCCCTTTTGAGCAAAGGAACTTCACCTACCTCAAGAGAAAGCTTGATTGTTTTGACTCCTTCACCAGTGATCTCCAACTCGTATGTATTCGCATCAATGTCTGGAACAGGAAGATGATTTCGAATGAAGAAGATGTCATTAGGAGTAACAAAGTTGTCGGCTAAAAGCTGCATTGGTGGCTCTGCGTTGAAAGGCTTCTTGGTGTTGATCTTGAGGGCTGGATGACGAGAAGGATCATTAACATATGGATCCTGTTAAAAATACATCATATAATATAATCGAATTTCAGTTATTTATTGATATTGATTAATCAAATAGAACTTTAATGCTAAACATTAACATCATCTGAAAAATAGTCACAATCCTCCCCATCATCATCATTTCTAGCCTTAAGAACGACGGTCAGGAAATATCGAGCATTGGGTGGCAAGATGGCTAGTGTCCAAATTTCTCCGTGCGGCTTTGTTTGCGAACGCGAGGAAAGTTGATGTTAGCAAATTTCAGGTTAAAAATTAGGCCATTTTCAGACACCGACCTCTAAAACCGATTTTCTAATTTTTCTCGCAAATAAAAGGCTTTTGGCGAAAGAATTTACATCACGTTTCTTAACTACCTAAAAGCTATTTGTAGACAAAAAATGAAAGAACTCTTGCTACGAAATCAGGATATTGCTCGGTTTTTCCTGACCAAGACGGTCCAGGACGTTCACGGAAATGGTGAGTGGAAACAAGCGATATAGTAGCAGAAGAGAGCGTTGGCTTCATCTTTAGGTATACAGTTGGTCTACAGTCACATCGCCCGAGAGTCATCTCGCCCGAAATCAGAGTTATGTCGCCCGAAATTTTTAGTCAAGTCCCCCGAAATGCTGAGATTTGTGGCTTGAAATTTAATCACGCTCAACAACATCCTAAAATCCTTACTACACATTTATTGCGCTTGCTTCGTTGTTCATCAAGGGTTTAATAAAGAGGGAGATATATTACACACAATCTTAATACGTTTCGTCTCGTCATCGCTTGAAGAACAAGGTATGTTACACATTCATTCCGCTTGCTTCGTTTAATTATGGTTAAAAGAACGTGATATATTACACACACTCTATATTTAACAAAAATTAACTTTGTTTCTCTGTACACTTCACCTAATAAAATTTGGTCGACATGACTCAGCATTTTGGGCGACTTAACTCTGGTTTCGGGCGAAACGACTTTTGGGCGACTTGACCGGTTACAATACAGTTGAACCTCCAATTAGCGGCCACCTATCATACAGTCACGCATCAAGCGGCAACAGCCACCTCTTTGCCATCCCGACGAGAGCTCTCCTATTATTACTGTCACCTCTATTACGCGAGCATCAAGCGTTTGATACACTTAGTTTGGATTTATTTTGAAAAATATGATGAAGCTAAATACAGATTGTGGAGCAGTAATGCCACTCCCGTTGCTTGTTTCTTCCTAAACAAAAAGACGTTTCTGTTTAGAGAAAGATTATTCTAATTTCTGACGAACTTCTGTTGAGCAGCGGCTGTAACTGGGTAATTCCACTACGAAATCCTAGCCTGTGAGCAAGCTCTCCATTTTGGGGGAGTCAGAAGAAGTCAAGCACAGCCCCAGGGGGGTACTCCGGATTTCAAGTGATGGAGATAATCGAAATGAGAGCAAAAAATAAAACCCCAAAAAATCCCTACAGCTTCCAACAAAGCCCAAAAATCTCCCTGTACAAAAAATTATCCCCACAAAAATCCAATGCCGAATTCCCGAGCCTTGAAAATTTCCAGAAAGCATTTAAAAATGATATTTCATGTTGCTCTTTATTTGGCTGTACTTTATTCGCAGAACTACGCGGCCGGGATATGCGGACACTACCACAAATCTTCAGATTGTTTTGAATACCCAAAAAATCCCTACTTAAATCAAGCCACCACCCCCTCTCCACCCCCGGGGCATGAGCAGCACGCGAAAGGAGACGCTAATCGCCTCTTAGCTGCTCTCTCGCGAATTCTCTCGTGGTTCTCTTTGCTTGCCATAAATGGAGAGCTTGCACCCAGGCTATTAAAACCTCACCTTGATATCAGACGTGTCACTGGAGCTCTCATCTTTCGCTAATGAGCCAATCCTGTAATCATCCAACAAGTCTAGAACATGCTGGTTATTGTGTACAGCATACAGAGCCCAGAAAGGCTCCAATGCACCACCAGCCGCCAAAACGATCTTGCTTGGCCCCCCTGGATGGCTGGCGATAAACTCTGTAATGTCATACACTTGGCCTTTGTATGTTACCCAGATGCCTTTTTCATAAGAGTTGTGCTTTGCAACTTCTTCCTTGCTATATAAAGCACCATCACTTTTAGATTCCGTACTGCTTGCTTCTTTCGCTTGTGCTTTCTTTTGTAGATGCTTAAAGAAAAAAAGAAGTAAATGGAGGACTTTCAACTCACCATGAGACGTGTACGAGAACAACACACTTAGGGCATACCATTAAAACCAGATAAAAAATGCACTTTATTTGAGTGTCAATCCGGTATTTAGCACGAAAATACTAACTGGGGACACTATTTTTACTTCTCCAACTGGAGACAGGACCGCCATTTTATGTGGTCATCTGAGCCACGCAAAGGTCTAGCTGCTTGAAGTGCAAAGGGAGTACCTTCATTTCTCAGTTATTTTAAGACCCTGAGTATTGGTCCAGCCCCAGGAATCGATCCTGCAACCTCCTGCTCTGCAGTCAAGCACTCTACTGACTGAGCTAATCCTGCCACGGTTACTTCTATCCCTAACCCCTCGCCTAATCCACTGCCTTAGTTTATCCAAAGAAGCAAGGAAATCATGGGAGGGACAAGAGGTCATATGGTGACAGATTGAAAAGGGTCGGGACAAATAATAAAATATTTGAAAAAGGTTATTTCATACATGAATATACCAACTTTAGAGGTTGACAATTATTCAAAGACTAAACATTAATCAAGAGATTTATGGTATGGTATTTAATTTTAGTAAAATCCAACTAGTGGTCTATTATCAATGCTGCATTCTGATTGGTTGAGCTATTACTCGGCTATATGTTATAGCCCACTAGTAGCGAAAAGCGCCGGCTTTTTGGGGGCAAAAAAGGAGTGGTCTAGCTTTAACTATCGCTAAAGTTGTTTTGTCTCGATATTTTTGGCCAACTAGTTGGATTTTACTGAGTAAATAGCCCATTCGGCCTTCGGGCCTCATGGGCTATTGACTCAGAGCCCATTCGGGCTTGAGGAATAATAATTGTTAAATACTCCCACATGTTAGCCTCAAAGCTATAAAATGTTCACGTATCATTTTCTCACTATTTTCTACCACTAGGGTGATAAGAGATATGTAGGTACCTTATGCTTGTTAACAGCGAGAGCCAGTCCTGTTAAAGTTCCTATCAATGCTCCAATGCCTGAATAGTTTGCAGATCCTGGAGCAGCTGATGTGGTATGAGTGCTACTCATATTCCTTATGGGTTTTGCCAAGTTCATTCTCACTGAACATCTAAAAATTTATCAAATCAGCAAATCAATTGTCACTGATCCAGGATTGGAAAGTTCTAACAAGAAAGAGTCATACTCTTTGAATGCCTTTAATTCAAACCTACAATTTCAGAATAATAACTGTAAACACATCTTCACTTTCTACACAATTATGATCGGTAAAACAGATTTACAGTTCCCCTTTTGGGCAGTCCCCAATTTTTTTAGTGATTTCCAAAACTTATAGCTAAGTCTAAGGAGCTAGGTCATCAAGTAGATCTCTAAAGAAGAGCAAAAACTAGGGTGTTACAATATCTGATTAATATATTATAAGGTACGGATCTTGACTACACATGTAGTCTGATTGGCATCTTAACAGCTTCAGTCCTAATTAACACTTAGAAACCCCCATTGAAACACTGGGAGAGAGCAATATTGCTTATATTTCGTAAATCAACTCAGCAATCACTCTTGGCAATCACATGGAAACATTAGGGAACTGAAATCAAAACCAATTATTTATGGTACACTGTATTAATTTAAGAATGATTTAACATGCTGAACATGTAGTTTTTGTCACTAAACAGCAATGGAAAACAGAAAGACTTTTAACTCTGATCCTCAGTGTTTTTTTTTATTATTTATATTTATCATAATCAACATGAGTAATTTTATCCTGATCTTTCTATGTTTGCTCCTTTTTCTTCGGAGTTCTACTTAAACTATAAAGTTTGCATTGAAATTCAAGGACTTTCCAGCACTCACTGCAGTCTTCAAAGACTTTCAAGGTGCATGCAAACCCTGCTTGCAGGAGCGTAGCTAAATGTTGTGGGTCGAGATTTAGCTACACTCTGCTTGTAGGGCTGTCACTACAGTTGCCGGGAAAATACAACAAGTATGTAAGGAATGTAGCAGCTTAGCAGGGGTGGATCTACAGAGGGTGGAGGGGGGCACTCCCCCCCCCCCCCCCCCCCCCCCCGGGGGGGGCTCTCCCACAAACACAGCCTTTTTTTTTTTTTTTTTTTCACACCCACCGCTTTCCTCTTTTTTTTTGTGTTTTCTCCCCCCTCCAAAAAAACAAACTCCCCCCCCCCCCTCTTGTTCTTTTTTTTTTTTTTTTTTTTTTTTCTCTTTTTTTTTAACTTCAATAAATTTTTAAAGAACCACCAATCATTTCCTTACAAAAAAGAAGAAAAACGGTTCACAGAGGGTTCCACGCCCGTATAGATGTGCGGCCTGTCAACCTTTGTATTTTCTCGTACAACAGGTTTTTGAGTATTTTAGCATAATTCCAGTTGGCTGTGTTTTATATAACAAGTGTAGTCAACTGTCTTGTTAGTAGTTAGTGAAAAATAGGGTGACCCACCCCCTAAGGGTAGCTGAAAATTGCACGACCCACCCCTTGCACAAGGCTCGAAACCTCATGACCCACCCCCTCTCTGCTCCGGCCCAACCCCATCTATACTTTTTGACCAGTCCCTTAGGGTATACCATTAAAACCAGATAAAAAAATGCACTTTATTTGAGTGTCAATCCGGTATTTAGCACGAAAATACCAACTCCAACTGGAGACAGGACCACCATTTTATGTGGTAATCTGAGCCACGCAAAGGTCTAGCTGCTTGAAGTGCAAAGTGAGTACCTTCATTTCTCAGTTATTTTAAGAGCCTGAGTATTGGTGCAACCCCGGGAATTGAACCTGCGACCTCCCGGTCTGCAGTCAAGCACTCTACTGACTGAGCTAATCCTGCCACGGTTACTTCTATCTATAACCCCTTGCCTAATTCACTGCCTTAATTTATCCAAAGAAGCAAAGAAATCATGGGAGGGACAAGTGGTCTTATGGTGACAGATTGATAGGCGTTGGCAAAAATAATATATTAGAAAAAGGTTATTTCATACAATCATGTGTATACCAACTTTAGAGGTTGACTAATTATTCAAAGCCTAAACATTTATCAAGAGATTTATGGCATAGTATTTAATTATACTCCCACATGTTAGCCCCAAAGTCATGATATGTTCACGTATCATTTTCTTACTATTCTCTGACACTAGGGTTATAAGAGATAAGCAGGTACCTTATGCTTGTTGACAGCAAGGGCCAGTCCTGTTAAAGTTCCTATCAATGCTCCAATGCCTGAATAGTTTGCAGATCCTGGAGCAGCTGATGTGGTATGCGTGCTACTCATATTCCTTATGGGTTTTCTCAAGTTCATTCTCACTGAACATCTAAAAATTTATTAAATCAGCAACTCAACTGTCACTAATCCAGGATTGGAAAGTTCTAACATGATAGAGTCGTACACTTTGGATGCCTTTAATATAAACCTACAATTTCAGAATAATAACTGTACATACATCTTCCCTTTCTACACAATTATGATCCGTATAACAGATTTACAGTTACTATTTTGGCAGTCCCCAATTTTTTCAAGTGATTTCCAAAACTTATTGCTAAGTCTAAGGAGCTACAATCCCAGACAAAACTACTTGAGAAGTTTTGCCCATCATGTCCCCTTTCCTACGTAACAAAACTATTTCTAAAACAATGGGTTTGCGGAAAGAAATCCCCTTCGCCCAGTTCAATGTTCCTTCCTACAAACGCCCACGGATCAGGGTTTCTTTTGAATACACAACAACATTAATTGCTTTCAAGGGAAGGGGGAGAAGGAAGAGCCGGTACAGCTACAATGTTTAGAAAAATGCTCTGCAAGTATACAATTTTCTCAACAGTTTTGTCCAGGATTGTAGATCATCAAGTACATCTCTAAAGGAGAGCAAAAACTAGGGTGTTACAATATGTGATTAATAGATTATAAGGTAAGAATCCTGACTTTCAACATTAAATGTGGACTTGATTGTTACACAGGTAATCTGATTTGCATCTTAACAGCTTCAGTCCTAATTAACACCAAGAAACCCCTATTGAATCTTCACCCAAGTGTATAAATTAGTACTGGTGATATACAGATACTGCTTGGGGGTAACCCTGTGTTGAACTTGCATCTTGTCCAGGGGGGAGTAGCAATACTCCTGGGACAATTATTGGCCTTTTGCATTAGTTGATCACGTGATCAACTTTTGGTAAACACGAAAATAGCTCACTTTTGAAAAATTTTGTTAGCAGGAAATGAAAAAGCATAATAAAATTATTAAAGTAACCTGTAAATTTAAAGCAGGATATCTCAATAATACAGGAGTTCTGATATTTCGCGCCGTCGCGGAGCTGCGAAATTCAGGTAAATCCGCGAAATTCACAAAAACACGCAAAATACCGCAAAATTCAGTAGAAATCTTATCGAATACAGTACATGTCTGTACAGCAATTTTGAAACTTGTCTCAGCTACTGGGGATATTTACTTGCCGTAAACACGCAAATTTATGTCAAAACTTCGTCACTGAAACATGCAAAAAAACTTTCCGAAACTACCAGGCGTAGATTGTGTTGCAAAAAACTGGGCACTAGCCATGATGTTAAAGGCTTTGCCATTGGTTCATTTCTGGAGCGTATTGTTGTTGAAAGAGCAAATGATGACCTCTGTTAGAAAAANTATCTCAATAATACAGGAGTTCTGATATTTCGCGCCGTCGCGGAGCTGCGAAATTCAGGTAAATCCGCGAAATTCACAAAAACACGCAAAATACCGCAAAATTCAGTAGAAATCTTATCGAATACAGTACATGTCTGTACAGCAATTTTGAAACTTGTCTCAGCTACTGGGGATATTTACTTGCCGTAAACACGCAAATTTATGTCAAAACTTCGTCACTGAAACATGCAAAAAAACTTTCCGAAACTACCAGGCGTAGATTGTGTTGCAAAAAACTGGGCACTAGCCATGATGTTAAAGGCTTTGCCATTGGTTCATTTCTGGAGCGTATTGTTGTTGAAAGAGCAAATGATGACCTCTGTTAGAAAAACATTAAAAATGCTGGTCTGATCAGCGCAAAACCGATCGATTTCTAGCGAAATTTGCCCTGAAAATAACCACAAAATCTACCGTTTTTTTAGCGATTGCTTTCCGGCCAAGTTTGCCCAGAAAATTCTCGCAAAATCGGCCAATTTTTCCGCGATTTTGTCCCTAAAAATTCCACGAAATTTGACTTTTTTCCGCAATCTATCAGAAGCCCTGATAATAGCGATTGCAATGGCTGCCAAAAATTAGAAGGATTTGTCTGACAAAAAGAACTTTTGCCTCCCAGTCATGTTTGAATGGTTTTCCATACAAATCTTGTAAACTTCAAAATTTTCAAACTGTCATGAAATATTTCCTTAAGCATTACAGGGCTCAAATCTCCTTTTAAGTCATAACAGGAACTTTGAGCCCTTAAAAGGGAACTGTTTTCATGTTTACTGAAAGTTGATCACGTGATCAATTAATGCAAAGGGCCTATTCATGCTAAGAAAACCAGGATAAGATACTGCCGTTTGGGCCTTTGGCTTGTGTGTTCCTTTACTTTGCCTTTACCTCAGCTCAAGGGCTCTCTAAATAGTCTTTAAACTAAAAAGTTGTACTGAAACAGATCCACTAAAGATCAAACTTTTACCTGGGCACCCTGAGGAGCATGAGTTGTCCAACACGTTGACATGAGGTTGACATGCGCACCAGTGATGCCATAGTAACAGACAACCTTCAAGTAACTATGGGGTGATAAAAGAAATTTACACATGTATCCAACTATCTTGCGTAACAGAATAACGTCGCACAGATAAACCAGAATTCAACCTACATGTATCTATACATGTAGGGTATAGTAAACTCCTGCTAATAAGAACCTACTTTTCCATAGGTTCTTGTATTTTGGGGTACTTATTGCCAATTTAGGCTACCTAGCTTCTTAATTAGGTTCTTAATTTTTATGAAGGAGATAATAGATTGTTGACCATTAACCCTTTAAACCCTGAGGTCAAAATTGAATTCTCATTTGTTGCCACTATTCATTTCCTACAGAAGTAGTGGGGAGAAGTTGATAAAATATCAAGCAAATTCATCTTGTGTGATCATGTCCATAATTCTCATGACCACTCTGTTTTACAAAGCATCGATATTACAAGGAGAAATTTGATGCTGATCACTCTTAGGGCTTAAAGGGTTAACAGAAAAAAAACCAGGGCCCAGTTGTTCAAAGGCCGGTTAGCGCTAACCCAGGGTTAAATTTTAACCTAGGTTTCTTTTTCTTTTGTTCAGAAGCATTTTCCCGAATAATTTTCTGTATTCTTTTTAGAGCATCCACTTATCAAATTGTAGGCAAAAAGAATACAACTGAATTTGCTTTTAACACTTTTATATCTGAATTAAAATTTCGCACTAACCCTGGGATATCTTAACCCTGCTTTGAACAACCCAGCCCAGTTAAAGAGGGCCTCTGCCAAGCTGGACGTCGTATCAAGTTAGATTCCTGAGACTGGGCCAATACTTGGGGTCTTAAAATTACTGAAGAAGGAGGTACTGCCTTTGCCTTGCAAATAGCTAGACCTTCATGTGGTAATTGAGGATGACCAAATAGAAATGGTGGAAGTCCTATCTCCAAGTTCTATCTCCAAGAGTTAGTGTCACAGAACAAAGAGTCCCTTTGATTAATTTGTATTAATTTGTAATCCGTTAATTTGTATTTTATACTTTGCCCAATTCTTACACTTTTCACACATTTCACATCACATCAATAAATATATGTTGAAGTTAATTTTTTAACTCAAGTTTTTTATGTTTTTCTTTTGTTTTTGGGTATGGTAATGTGTGCTAATAAAGTTGAAACAAAGAAAAATAAAAAATTAACTACAGTATATAAACTACAGCATATAAAAAACTCTGAAAGGTTTGAACCCATGAGTCATTTCATAAGTAGGCTGAGTATGATCGTCCGGGCAAATAAATTATTCTTATCCCTGATGATGTTATTGATTAGTGAAAACCTTTATCTTTAATTACAGCAGTAAGAGGCCTCACTCAAAAAATATTTTACTTCTAAGCATTCTGTTGAGGGACAAAATGCACAGAATATACACCCCCATTGCAGTCATACACTTATGGTATTATATTATTATTATTAAATTTTTTTTTTTTTTTTTTTTTTAAATAATAGACAATTTTATTAAAAAACTGTTAAAATCCTATTTACAATTACTTCGCTTAAAAAAAAGAAAAAACTATTCATTCAAAAACACTATTTACAATTTCTGTCGATTTAAAAAGAACTCAATTTAGCTTAAAAAAAAGTTAATTAAAACTAAGAAAAATTTTTTCGAATTAAAAAAACATTTCATTTCAATAAAAAAAACTGTCAACCTCTAAAATTCAAAAGTTTCTTTCAACTGCTAAAAAAAAATTATTATTATTATTATTATTATTATTATTATTATTTTAAAGCAAGTGTACACCTGAAAACAAACTGTATGATTTGTTTCTTAGCATCAAACAAGCTTGACTTGTTTAGTTATTTCTGTTATTTGTTTTTTTTGTTTGTTTTTTATTTATCTATATAACTATTAATTTTTGTAATTAATAATCACAACATCCTGTATACCAGTTGTGTCTTGTCTGTTCCTTTTATTTTAGTTTTGCAGTGTCATTCTTTGTTAATATTGTTAATATTGTATATTGTATTGTACTTATCAATAAGCTTCAACATTAAAAAAAAGTCTGTGGTGAAATTATTTTTTCCATTATTTCAGTGTTTCAAACTTATTGTGATCTTCATCCAAACAAAGGATGGTAAAAAGAAACATTCATGTATTCATGCTCAGTAGTGTAAATCAGTGGTCACAGGTGGCCGAGCACGGCTGTAAGTTACAGTAGTGCACATGCATATATTTATCTGTATCTGGATACAGATTTCCCTTGAGTTGACTATCATTCATTATTCGTTGTCAGCCACTGAGATTGTCTGATCCGTAAAAAAAAGCATGACACTAGTTGTCACCCTTACAGTGAAGTTCTGACCCCTCTCTATAATAAATAGAGGGTCCAGTTCAGGCCCATCCTTGGTGTAAAAACTTGTGAAACTCACGAATGACGTAAAACAATGAACACAAAAAAGCCACTGAGAAGTCAAAACAATAGACCCAAGGAAAATAATAGCTAGAAAACAAAGAAAAACTTCACAGGTTTTTACACCGGGGTAAACCCCCAGTTTAACTGTATCACCCTNTTTGTTTTTTATTTATCTATATAACTATTAATTTTTGTAATTAATAATCACAACATCCTGTATACCAGTTGTGTCTTGTCTGCTCCTTTTATTTTAGTTTTGCAGTGTCATTCTTTGTTAATATTGTTAATATTGTATATTGTATTGTACTTATCAATAAGCTTCAACATTAAAAAAAAAGTCTGGTGAAATTATTTTTTCCATTATTTCAGTGTTTCAAACTTATTGTGATCTTCATCCAAACATAGGATGGTAAAAAGAAACATTCATGTATTCATGCTCAGTAGTGTAAATCAGTTGTCACAGGTGGCCGAGCACGGCTGTAAGTTACATTAGTGCACATGCATATATTTATCTTAATCTGGATACAGATTTCCCTTGAGTTGACTATCATTCACTATTCGTTCTCAGCCACTGAGATTGTCTGATCCGTAAAAAAAAGTATGACACTAGTTGTCACCCTTACAGTGAAGTTCTGACCCCTCTCTATAATAAATAGAGGGTCCAGTTTAGGCCCATCCTTGGTGTAAAAACTTGTGAAACTCACGAATGACGTAAAACAATGAACACAAAAAAGCCACTGAGAAGTCAAAACAATAGACCCAAGGAAAATAATAGCTAGAAAACAAAGAAAAACTTCACAGGTTTTTACACCGAGGTAAACCCCCAGTTTAACTGTATCACCCTTCTAGACACTTAGCATACAAAATGGCGGACAACCTACAGGGAAACAAATGGGACTCCTTTAATTTACCCGTTTTGTCTGTATAGTCTGTGATGTTTTTCTTTAGCGATAGAGCATTTATTTTACATAATAAGTCTGTGTTATTTTTGGTTTCTGCAGATTTTTTTTTCTTTACCTTTTCCAATCATTTCCATTCAGGCGGAGTATCAGAACATCGAAGTGGTGGCCGAAGGTTTACTTTTCAAAAAGCTTAAAATGTGGTGCTCGTAAGCCTATTATAAAACTCAACGGACAAAATTCAATTAAAATTACAAAACGTTTACATAATTTTTTATAGACTAGGACAAAAGCTTTCTCAAACCTACCGCGAATCAGCCAAAGAATAAGTTCTTCTCCCTCGTTGAAACTACGGCGGAATAACACAACGACAGTCACGCAACTGTCCCACGAAGCATTTCGGGTGCACAGGAAATGAGTTCTGCTTTGAATGCCACGTATATTGTAAGGGAAGGCCGGCTGTGTGTCTGTGGTCTCCCAAGAAATAATGTCGGCATGCTTCCATTAACAAGCAAAGACAGCTTCAAAAGTGATGATTTTAAACCAGGACTAAAGCTTAGATCACGGATACTTGAATGGCTAAGGTAAAGTTCCTAAATGACCTCTATTTTGAAAGGTATTCAAGAACGTTTTTGACCATGTGTTCAGTGATGTCACAACATTTTCTCATCTGTCTCTTCACAGAGAGATATTTGCCAATGAAGGTTCAAGGAATTTATTCTTTTTCCTTCTCCTCAATTTGTCTTTTGCGTTTGTGGAATTGGCGTATGGAATATGGACCAACAGGTTACACGATTTCTTAAGATTACTCTCGTTGTACGGTTCAGTTCCGAAAAACATGACGAGTAAATAACTTCAATATCACATGCTTTCTTTCAGCCTTGGCCTGATATCAGATTCATTTCATATGTTCTTTGATTGTACGGCGCTATTAGCAGGCCTAATAGCGTCAGTCATCGCAAGATGGGGTAAAAATGAACGATTTTCTTATGGGTGAGTCTATCATTGTTATTATTTTTGTGTGTTAACACAGGCACATTATGCTTATTCAGATGTGTTAGTATCAAATGACCTTTGTGTTAGACACTGGCACAAATTCTGGGGGGATTTTCTGATTCCTATTTTGATGCCTAGTATTTGTCAGTAAAAACCCAGACAAAGAGAAATTTGCTTTTTCCCTTAATTATTATTACATGGCAAGCCCCAGGCTACTTATTGTTCCAATATGACTACCCAGATTTTTCTGACAAAAAAAATAATTAAAAAAATACATGAAACATAAACCTAACTAAAATGGAACATAAAGTTGATCCCTGCCTTTCTTAGATCCTCTTCCAAAGTAGACTATTCATAAGACAGACATCTCTCTAAGAGACCCTGCCAAGGGTGGAGTCCCATGTCGCCCGTCTGAATTTTAAAACATCTTGTGTTGGTGTTTACAAATGCTTGTCGCTTATTGTTGGCTTTGCCGTCACTGTCCCAATTTGGCCGAGGGAGGTTGTCTCTTGACACGATTTCATTTTACGCGCTGTCGCTACTTCCCAATTTGGCCGAGGGAGGTTGTCTCTTGACACGATTTCATTTTACGCGCTGTCGCTACTTTTTGGGCCATGTCGCTTGTCAGAATTTACCCTGGCAGGGCCTCCTCTAAGATAGCCACCTAGAGTTGGTCCCAGTGCGTGCCTTTCTTTACACCTTTTAGTTGACTCTCTAGAAGATGGCCACCGTACTAAAATGGACACCTAGAGTTTGTCCCTGCCATTCTTTACCCCTTTTAATTGACTCTTGATAAGACAGGCATGTCTCTATGATGTGCGCTTCACCACTTCACATTGGCCATAATACACTTTGTTTACAACCCCCACTGAAAAAAATTTTGCACTAGCATTGTTTTCGCTTTCTCTTGAGACGACTGTAACAAGTATGAGAAATTGAAAACAGTTCTTATGCAAATTATTTTTTGAGGGGTGGGGGGAGGGTTAAACAAGGTATACTTTTCTATGGGTAATGTGCAAGGGGCAAATNAAAATCCCCCCGGTTTAATTGGTGTATTTTTTTTTTGTTCAAAAAAGTGGGATAAAAAGAAATTTTTTTTTTTTTTTTTTGCGGTTTTTTTTAAAACAAAAAAGGGGGGGGGGGGGGGGGGTCCCCGGAACGCCCCCCCCCCCCCCCCCCCGAACCCCCTCCTTCTTGAAATATCCGAGAAACTGTTTTCTTGTGACAAGTAAATTTATGTAAATTATGTATTGTACTTGCATTTTGATTGACAGGTCATGGACACTCGCACGGCCATGGTCATGGTCACAGCCATGGACATGGACATGGACACTCGCACAGTCATTCACATGGACACTCGCACATGAATGGTGGACACAATCACATGCACGACTCAGGTGTGTCTTACAAAGGAATATAACATACGTGTACTATTGTATACATCCACTCTTCTGAAATTATCTGGAAGTCATCTGGTTACTGCACAAACCTCCCAGTCTCTAATACACATCACCAAATCTCCTGGATAAAATTTAATTTTGATCTTTTTCTAAGCTTTAGTTTGGAATTAGGCCCATGTTCCCCCAAAATTCCAAGTATACAATGGACTATAGTTTATGTGGCATTTTTGAAATGATTTTTATTTATTTATTTATTTTTACATAGGCCAATATAATGGAGCTTATATTAAACTAATCTTTTATGTACTTTATAGAGTGTAAGGATGAAAAAGTAGAAGTTTCCACAAGTAAAATTATGGAAGGTGAGTCAATATGGTATGATACAGTTGTATGGCACTATTTTGGTTCAAAAATAATAATTCATTTATGAAGAAAACCATTTTGTGAACTTTAGATGAATTATGTCAAAGTGAGTGTGATCCTTCCAGAAATTAGTTATTTTATTGCTAATTGAAGTAGGTGGTCAACAATGAACTCTGAGTCTCAAAGCTCATGGGAAACCTATTAGGTTTTTCTCAGGGGTCCTATGACAGTACTTTGTTTGAAAACAGGATGCATGACTTGGGGTACAGTTGGTGAAATGTCTCCTGCAGTAACATCAATCTGATCTGCATGAACTGTAATAGGTTAAGGCTGTGTTATCACCAGTCAGACAAAACTTACAACCAATTTTTTTCAAGCCATTCCAATCATTCAATGTTACAATGCAGTTGTTCGAGTTTTTTCCAAAGTAATCACCCATTCATAACAACCAGTTGAAATGGTACAGCTGTAAGGTTTGCTACCCTTTCATCAGCCATTCACTAGGGCTCCGTACCCTTGCCTGTTATACAAAATCCCACTAGATATCACACTTAGTGTTAAATATACGGGAAAAAATATACCAAATTTTTCCTCTAAGAATCTTTCAAAATAAATTAATAGATTCTTAGAGAGAAGTGGAAGACTGGTAAACATTTTTTAACATTTACTGTATATTCCTGCATGTTTTTCTTTTCTTTTTTTTTTATTTTCTCTCTCCTTTCAGGAGTGTTTCTTCATGTGTTGGCAGACACTCTAGGAAGTATAGGTGTAATAATATCAGCAGGGCTTATATACCAGTTTGGTAAGTTATTTTGCTGTTATATATTGTAGTACGAATTTGCTATGGTTAAGTAATAATTTCCACTCCTAGTACTGCTTGCAATAACTTTTGTCTAAGATATAATCAGTAACCTTGTGAAAGACTGTCTTTGATGCTCGAGAATCCCACACAGTTTCTGAGTCGGGGTTCCAGCAGCTGGCAAATTGCCTGACGGCTGGTTGTATATGTTTACATGTGTGTTGTGGTCTCATTTGTTCATGTGTCCTCCAAGCTTATCCAGCCAGACTCATTTGTCAAATACTTGCAGTGAGAGACTGGCAGCACAATGGGGCAATACCCAATAAGCAATGTATTGGTTCTTTAATGTCCTGTTTGCAAGGAATGTTAGACAACAGCTACAGTTTTTTGTCCTATATTCTATCTAGAAGACTAGTAAGTCTAACCATTTGCTGGTGTCATTACAAAGGCAGCGCTTTCTCCTTAGTTACAATGTATTTAGTGACCCCTAAGTGTTTGTTGCCAGAGTTTAAATCTACAGCCACCCACTTGACAGTCTTAGATGTTGTCTACTGCATGAGACTGCATGTACTGTAGAATGGCATTGTTTATCAAGCAATAATGTCTATAATCCATGTATTACATGTCAGTGGTTCAGTGGAATGCTTGAGTCTGACCGACCATTTGCATTTTTCACATCCAGTTGAATGGGTCAAATATTTATGGCTATATTTAACAGTGGCAACACTATGTAATTTGCAGGCTGGATGTTAGCTGATCCAATCTGTTCAATGTTTATTTCTGTTCTCATTGCATTCAGGTGAGTAGCATTAAGATGTTGATTTCACTGTTGACAACTATATATTGGGGAATTCCAGGGCTGTCATTAAGAGGCAGGGCGGGGGATTTCCCCTGCTACTATGAATGTGCCCAAGGCTACTTTCAAAGGAAAATATAAGAAAAGTAGAACCAAAAGAAATCTGTAGCTTTTTGATTCCCCGCCTACTTGTTGTGTTTACCAGACAACTTGAAATCTTGGTGACACCCCTGGAAATTCTCGGATGTTTTGTTTTGCAACACGGCTATGGATTAGTCCTATTTCATTAAAAAATAGTGATGGTGCGTTTTATTTTGCAGTGTAATCCCACTTTTGAGAGAATCAGTCGGAATATTAATGCAGAGAATTCCCACAGGTTTGGAGAAGAATATACATATCGCTTACCAAAGGGTCAGTATAAACTATATATGCCATGTTGTAGATTAGTTTCCGAAGGTCGTATTGACTTCCTACTTAACATGGCATCATCGTCAATAATTGCNGAACCCCCTCCTTCTTGAAATATCCGAGAAACTGTTTTCTTGTGACAAGTAAATTTATGTAAATTATGTATTGTACTTGCATTTTGATTGACAGGTCATGGACACTCGCACAGCCATGGTCATGGTCACAGCCATGGACATGGACATGGACACTCACACAGTCATTCACATGGACACTCGCACATGAATGGTGGACACAATCACATGCACGACTCAGGTGTGTCTTACAAAGGAATATAACATACGTGTACTATTGTATACATCCACTCTTCCGAAATTATCTGGGAGTCATCTGGATACTGCACAAACCTCCCAGTCTCTAGTACAGATCACCAAATCTCCTGGATAAAATTTAATTTTGATCTTTTTCTAAGCTTTAGTTTGGAATTAGGCCCATGTTCCCCCAAAATTAAGAATACAATGGACTATAGTTTATGGGGCATAAATGATGTGATTTTTTATTTATTTATTTATTTTTACATAGGCCAATGGAGCTTGCATTTAACTAATCTTTTATGTACTCAATAGAGTGTAAAGATGAAAAAGTAGAAGTTTCCACAAGTAAAATTATGGAAGGTGAGTCAATATGGTTTGATACAGTTGTATGGTACTATTTTGGTCCAAAAATAATTCGTTTATGAATCTAAAATCATTTTGTGAACTTCAGATGAATTATGTCAAGGTGAGTGTGATCCTTGCAGAAATTATTAATTTTATTTTATTGCTAATTGAAGTAGGTGGTCAACAATGAACTCTGGGTCTCAAAGCTCATGGGGAACGTATTAGGTTTTTCTCAGGGATCCTATGACAGTACTTTGTTTAAAAACAGGATGTATGATTGGTGTACAGTTGATGAAATGTCTTGTAGCCAACAGTTATCAGCGCCGTAAAAATGACTTATTGACTAGATCAAGCAAAACTAACTACAAGAGAACAACTGTAGAACTGACAATTTGACTAACAATAGAGGACTGTTTAACTGTGACAATAGACGGATCGAAACGCACCAATCGCTGATTACGAGTCTTCATAGCCAATAACATCACGGCTTAACTGACAGACGACCAATAACATCGCGACGTAATTGACCAATCAGATCAATAACCAGAGTATAATACCATCAACTGACGTGATACAACTCACTTTGACTCTAAAGATGACTACCGCACAGGTTGTCGAAACGTCAGTCACTGTCAACAACAACAGTCCTATTCAGGACTACGTTCACCCGGACGATCAAACTCAACCTTTTGAAATGACTCCTGGGTTCAAACCTTTCACAGAAATGTCTCTTGCAGTAACATCGATCGGATCTGCATGAACTGTAATAGCCTTTAGGTTAAGGCTGTGTTATCACCAGTCAGACAAAACTTACAACCAATTTTTTTCAAGCCATTCCGCTCATTCAATGTTACAATGCAGTTCTTCGAGTTTTTTCCAAAGTAATCACCCATTCATAAGAACCATTTGAAATGGTACGGCTGTAAGATTTGCTACCCTTTCATCAGCCATTCACTAGGGCTCCGTACCCTCAGCTGTTTGCCTGTTATACAAAATCCCACTAGATGTCACACTTGGTGTTAAATATAAGGGAAAACTGTGAATGTAATACAAAATGTTTCCTCTAAGAATCTTTCAAAATGAATTAATAGATTCTTAGAGAGAGGTGGAAGACTGGTAAACCTCTTTTTAACATTTACTGTATATTCCTGCATGTTTTTCATTTCTTTTTTTTTTATTTTCTCTCTCCTTTCAGGAGTGTTTCTTCATGTATTGGCAGACACTCTAGGAAGTATAGGTGTAATAATATCAGCAGGGCTTATATACCAGTTTGGTGAGTTATTTTGCCAGTAAATATTGTAGTAAGAACTTGCTATGGATAAGTAATAATTTCCACTCCTAGTACTGCTTGCAATAACTTTTGTCTGAGATATAATCAGTAACTGTCTGTCTTTGATGCTCGAGAATCCCACACTGTGTTTCTGAGTAGGGGTTCCAGCAGCTGGCAAATTGCCTGACGACCAGTTTGGTAAGCTATTTTGCTGGCATATATTGTAGTAAGAATTTGCTATGGTTAAGAAATAATTTCCACTCCTAGTACTGCTTGCAATAACTTTTGTCTAAGACATAATCAGTAACCTTGTGAAAGACTTCTTGGATGCTCGACAGTCCCACACTGTGTTTGAGTCGGGATTCCAGCAGCTGGCAAATTGCCTGACTGCTGGTTGTATATGTTTACATGTTTGTTGTGGTCTCATTTGTTCATGTGTCCTCCAAGCTTATCCAGCCAGACTCATTTGTCAAATACTTGCAGTGAGAGACTGGCGCGCAATGGGCCAATACCCAATAAGCAATGTATTGGTTCTTTAATGTCCTGTTTGCAAGGAATGTTAGACAACAGCTACAGTTTTTTGTCCTATATTCTAGAACACTAGTAAGTCTAACCATTTGCTGGTGTCATTACAAAGGCAGCACTTTCTCCTTAGTTACAATGTTTTTAGTGACCCTGAGTATTTGTTGTCAGGGTTTAAAACTGCAGTCACCCACTTGACAGACTTAGATGCTGTCTACTGCATGAGACTGCATGTACTGTAGAATGGCATTGTTTATCAAGCAATAATGTCTATAATCCATGAATTACATGTCAGTGGTTCAGTAGAATGCTTGAGTCTGACCAACCATTTGCGTCTTTCACATCCAGTTGAGTGTGTCAAATATTTATGGCTATATTTAACAGTGGCAACACTATGTAATTTGCAGGCTGGATGTTAGCTGATCCAATCTGTTCAATGTTTATTTCTGTTCTCATTGCATTCAGGTGAGTAGCATTAAGATGCTGATTTTACTGTTGACAACTATATATTGGGGAATTCCAGGGCTGTCATTAAGAGGCAGGGCGGGGGATTTCCCCTGCTACTATGAATGTGCCCAAGGCTACTTTCAAAGGAAAATATAAGAAAAGTAGAACCAAAAGAAATCTGTAGCTTTTTGATTCCCCGCCTACTTGTTGTGTTTACCAGACAACTTGAAATCTTGGTGACACCCCTGGAAATTCTCGGATGTTTTGTTTTGCAACACGGCTATGGATTAGTCCTATTTCATTAAAAAATAGTGATGGTGCGTTTTATTTTGCAGTGTAATCCCACTTTTGAGAGAATCAGTCGGAATATTAATGCAGAGAATTCCCACAGGTTTGGAGAAGAATATACATATCGCTTACCAAAGGGTCAGTATAAACTATATATGCCATGTTGTAGATTAGTTTCCGAAGGTCGTATTGACTTCCTACTTAACATGGCATCATCGTCAATAATTGCCATCAATATCATCATCGTCATCATCATCATCATCATCGTCCATCATCGTTGTCGTCGTCCGAAATCATTAATCAGATTCGAAAAATCGCTCAATGAGAGGTTTCTCACTTAAGGAGGGGAAGAGAAAAAAACGCCCTCTACTTGAGTACAGAAGTACATGTGAGGGACACTATTGTACGTCTCCTACTGGTGGCGGGACAGTCATTTTCAGTGTTCACCCGAGCTACGCGAAGGACTAGCCTTCTGCAGGGTGAAGGCAGTGCTTTGATGTGTTACTTTTAAACCACTGTTCAAGAGGGAGCACCCTCGGATAGTCAGGTTTTCTTCCCTTTACAACGCGTATTTTGATAAGCTTTGCTATTTACACGATTGTTTGGTTTGCACAGTTTCTTCAAAATGTTTTGTAACACTTTAATCTCTGGGCTGTTTCAAGACCTGCCAACATTTCTCCGGCCCAAAAAATCGAACCCGCCACCTCCTACCGACAGCCGCTCTGCAGTCAAGCGCTCCACTGACTGAGCTAGTCCTTCCGCGGGCGATTAGACTACTATAAGATTTAAATTAGACTACAAGTAAGAGTTTACAAACCACATTCGTGTGCGTGGTGTAATTGCTTATCACACCAATCTTATCCCTAACGTTTTTTGACAGCGTGCTAGTCAACATCAAAAGAGCTCGAGTTTGAGGCTCGAAATTCCAAGCTTGTAGTTGTACTCCATGACGTGTCTTTCGTACTCGTTTTGAAATCCCAAGGTTGCTTATGGTTCATTAGGTAGCTTAACCCTTTAAACCCTAATATCAAAATTCAAATTCTCATTTGTTATCCCTATACGTTTTCAATAGAAGTAGTGGGGAGAATTTGTTGAAGTATCAAATAGATTCACCTTGTTTGATCACGTCCTCGATTCTCATGACCTCTGTGTCTTATAAAGCACTGATATTACAAAGAGAAATTTGATGCTGATCACTCTTAGGGCTTAAAGGGTTAAGCAAAGGCGTTTCTGATCGACGCACGTCAACCGAAAATGAGGCTTTTTAATCTTAACCCTTTAAACCCTGAGATCAAAATTTGAATTCTCATTTGTTGCCCTATTCATTTCCTACAGAAGTAGTGGGGACAAGTTGATAAAATATCAAGCAAATTTATCTTGTGTGATCTTGTCCGTAATTCTCATGACTACTCTGTTTTACTAAGCATTGATATTACAAGGAGAAATTTGATGCTGATCACTCTTAGGGCTTAAAGGGTTAAAAGACCTTGACGCTACCAAATTTTTATTTCTAAGTGTCTTTACTCTTAAAGAGACGATTTACCCGGAAATTTGGGCAAAACCACTTCCCGAGAATGCAGAAAGTCTTCCAATTGACGTGCCTCGCTCAAAAACTTCTTTGCTGAAGCTCATTAATACCAGAAAGTAGCAACTCCACTTGCCTGTTTTACGCGAATGTCCGTCTCTTTGAGGTCTCCGTTGAGAACGTTGAATAAAGCTATTTCGAGAAAGGTTGTCGGAAAAATCTCGAAAGGTAATATGGGATATGCTCAATACACTGTTCCTGACGCTGTAGCTGTCGAACCTGCTTTTGTTGCTTTCCTTTAGCATTGGCAAACATACATCCATGGCCTCTCTTGCCATTCTTTCAAATTTCTTTGAGGAACAAAATAACTCAAAATCACCCATAATCCCTTCGGGACTGTCGCGTGCACTTTTTCCAACAACCTTTCTCAAAATAGCTGTATATTCCAAGGATATGTAGCATTATAGGCAAGACCAAAGGCTTTTATGATTGAAAGTTTCGGAAGGTAAGACGACTGATCTTTGTTGGTACTTTTCATCTCATAGGTGAATCAAATGGATGATGTGTTTAGTATCCAGGATCCTCATTTCTGGGCTCTAAGCAGGTGCAGTATTTTCCATTCACAGTGTCCTGTTCAAGTGTCCGGGGATTTTTGAAAACGGAGATGTTTTTCCCCCCGTCCACACTTAGCGTATTCGAAACGTTTCCGCCCGTCCACACGAAAATGCTAAAACAATGGGAATACAATAGCAGGACAGGCGCTGTATGGCGTATGGCATCATCGTATTCGAAAACCTCCGTTTTCGTCCGTCCACACGAAGAGATCAAGGTGGCTTTCTGAGGAGACTTCCATTATCCATTATCTTGTCCCTTGGCTCCTCAGTCTCAGTTTTTAAGAGGGCTGCTAATCTTTTTCTGTTATTCGTAATTCATGAAAACATTTTTGCTTTCCTATTCATATATTCAGCACTGTCTGGATTGGAACATTGCGACTGCTTGTGGCTCCCACCGCAGACACACACAAAATTCTTAGCCAGACACATCACATCTTCATGGAGGTATGACTTAGCTCGTATTATTTTCGCCTCTTTTTTCATTAGTTTACTTTAAAGTCGTTGGACAGGTTAAAGTTGAAGGAAAGAACTAATAATAAATTGAACTTTTTGTTACCCCATGCTACAAATAATCGGTCTCGAAAATACTTTTCAGTGGCTGTTCACTGTAGTAAGTGATGCCCGCGTTATGAAGACTTCAGTACCAATTAAATCATTAAAAGGGCAAATAGTCATTAAATAGTAAATCCCTTTTATCTCTAAGTTAGCCACACCGAAGGCGCGTAAAACACTCTTCAGTGTTTTCAGAAATCAAAATCTTCCATCAGCATTACCTTCTTGCCAGAAAACCCGTGATGATTTATTGCGAGCCAAAACTTTTAAAACATCCAAAGCCCTTTATGAGGATTCTTCCAACCATAGACATAATAAAGAAAACCCATTAATTCGTAAAATTACTCAGCTCTTTTCCCTTTTTGCAGCTTGGGGTAAAACAGCTCTATGTTCAGATCGAACATTCTTATTGACGTCACGAGAGGGAACGATGAGGAAGAAATGTCGAGCATTGATCTTGGCAAAAAGAGGCCACAGGGACAGCAGTATTTTCTTCAGGAAGACACCCACTTTTTTCTTCATAGGGAATCAATAAAAATACTTTTGACTAGTCGGCATTGACATACCTTATTTAGGAATATGTCAATTTCAATAAGGACTGTTCCCCTCGTCTTCGAGATAACTTACATTATGACTCAGCGTAGCCTGGTTCCTTACGTATCTTCCCTGCTTTCCTCTATTTTAGCAAATCTTTCTACTGAAGACCTGTGTTGAGAGTGTATATGAGCCCTGTCAACATGTCTGGGTTCATATGACAAATTTTTATCCCTTTTAACCGAGTGAAATTTTTCACCTGATAGCGGACACGAAGTAAAAAGGTAGAAGCACACACGAGCCAAATGGCACTTAAGTGCTGGGGCTCAGCCTGGTTTCTTAGTGATGTACCTAGTATTACAACTCCTCTCGGCTCCCACCTCCTAGATGGGGTGCTAGTCCACCGCAAGGTCACCCGAGCAGTATGTTAAGAGGAAGCTTACGCAAAACGACGGTGACGTCGGCGTAAACGTCACTTAAAAAGTGAATTCGTACTGTTGTACAATTCATCGCTTTATCGCGAGATGCACGTGAAAGTTATTGTTTTGTTTCTCTAAACCGGTTGCTTTTTTGCCGTTCTCGGTAACGTCGCCTTCGTCGTTGCTTGAGTTCCCTAATACCACGTGCGTGGTGCGTGGTGCGTGGTGCGTGGTGCGTGGTGCGTGGTAACACTATAATGGAAAGCTTTTGCGCCCGCACGAAAACCATACCACAGATAGCGCGTCTGTTCACACATAACGAACGGTGATTTTGGCGCGATTTCCACAACGGAGCGAAGCTGCGCCATGTAGATCTCTTTAAGTGGAGAGTCACTCATCTGGTAGGTGCTCGTACTATACCAGATAGGAATCAGTGCGAGTCGGCACGAAAAGCTATTCGGTATGCTGTGAACATAACCTAAACTTGTTTTTTTTTTCCTGTTCTCGTTCTCGTTGCTGTCGCCGTCGTCGCTGCTTAAGCTCCCTAATGATACCTGTGTGGTGAGAGAACCTTACTCCACCCTCTGCGTGGTATCAAATTATTTTACGAAGGAAATAGGTTTGTGATGAAATCTCGGTAGATCAACCGGGCTTTAAATGACCACAAGTGTTGAATGACTTTTTCCTGAGGAGATTGTGTGTATTTAACGCGTTTGGATTCCAGGGAAGAGGAAGTAAAATTACAGATCCCAAGATAGAAATTTAAAATGTTTATGAATTTATCAAAACGAGTAAATAAGCCATTTCCACAATTACCTCAATGTCAGTTTGCTGCAACTACCAGAATCCATCCTGTCTTGATTGTTTTGTTTGTTTGTTTGTTTGTTTGTTTGTACCCAGCGAGTTCTGGTTTCTCTCGTGCATGGTTTTTAGCGTTTACGATGTCGTTGGCGTCGCTTGTGTGTCAGTCGCGTAGTCAGTTTGTTTTATAACTACGCGACAGGAAAGCGACACGAACGACTTCGTAAACGCTAAAAGCCATGGGGAGAAAAATCTCTGCTCGCAGGGTAGTTTGTTTGTTTGTTTTGCACAAAGAAAGAAATTTAGACCTCACTAAGATTACACAATTTGTGTAAGGAAAAGAACTTGCTACTGTGAATCCTGGTAGATGTAGTAATATGGCATTCTCAAAACAGCCTACTGTTCTAAACATATGCTTTATGTAAATAGAATAAGCCATTTCTATTATTGTCTCTTTAATTTTCACCTCAATATTTTCAATCTTTACTCAATGAAGATGATTAATATAATGAAAATAAAATCAACCAAGTCAAACTTAAAAAATGGCGCCTTGTTTTAGTTCTTATTAACATGAAATATTTTGTGTTTTGCTTTGGTCTGCTAGGTCATGTTTATGCGCGCTCGGCTGCTTCGGACAGAGTAAAAACCCTTAGAGGATTGACGAGGCAGTTAATAAGGGGGCCGGGAGTGTAGATAAATGAAAACCTTTTCCTGCTTGGTAAACTAAATTTACCGCAAAAACCGAAATGCCCACCGATAAGTACCCACGAAGTACCAATAACGTAGTTTAAGGATCGTTCCAAAATCCTAGCAAAATCAACAATGCCGAAGCCACACCGGTGGTTTAGCCATTGCACCGTCCCTTTGTATCACAGTGTCATAATTTTTTTTCTTGTGAGGTCCGTCTGGCAGCATTACAACATGAGCTACAAAATACGTGGCGGCGATGCATGATAATCCTTTTCAGTATACATACTAAAACACTGGATAGTGCATATGTTTTTCGCGCGCTCTGATTGGCTGCTCACACTCGGGATATCCAGTGCTATTCATTGATTCACCTCCACCTACTCCGAGCGAGCGACGCCAAACTCGCGTTAAGTTACCAGCAAAATGGCTTCCCACTTTGATGCCGCAACAACGAAGAAATGTCACAATTAATAATCAAACTGGTCTGCTACACAGCCGTTTTTAGTGTCGTCACGCAACGCTCCTCCCCACTAACGGTTGCTGAAAATCGAACCACATTCCTTTCCCTTTGTGTTTGTGGTCTAACGAACAAACCAATCATATATAAATAACTTAACAATACGTGAGCCGCAGAGCGCTAGGGGCAAACACGCTTCTCAGTTTTCGACAAATCAATCAATCGTCGTTGAATTTTGATGAGCTCTGTATCTACAAGCAACGAAAAGATTGTTTGCAGAAAAGTTTGTTTTAAGCGGCTAACAAAATTCCAAGTGAAAAAAAGGCTGTTACCAGGATCGGGTGGTTCTTTTTAACTTTCATATGTATGATGAATTTCATGTATCGGACGTGCTCATTGTGTTGTTGTACATGTGAAGACTGTGGAGACTAAACTCTCAGGGGTACTGACTCAAACAAAGGCAATCTTATAAATTATCGATAAGCGATTTCCGAAACTATACCCGGCAACTTTATAAGCACATCCATGTTGTGCATCATATTTGCTCGTCTTGCTTGCTGTTGCTACTTATCTCAAAAATTTTGAAAGGACTCGACTACGAAAACACGGCTCTAGTTGATTGCTTGTTTTCACGCGACGATTTTGATTGTTCTGTCATTCACACATGGGGCAACGATAAAAGCAAAGCTGTGATTGGAGGAGTCACCATACCGCAAACGTGGCGCGAACACCTTCCAGAAAATGGCAGCTGAATTCTAATTGGCGAATCGCGGGAAAGGAATGTGGTTCGATTTTTAGCAGCCGTTAGTGGGGAGGAGCGTTGCGTGACGACACTAAAAACGGCTGTGTAGCAGACCATAATCAAACAAGCTGTTCCCCAAATACACGAAGAAGGGGACGAAGTTCGACTTGGCAGTTTGAACAGATGAAACCTGTGAAAAAGTTTTTTGGTCTACAAATGCAAATTTAGTCTTGCTTTCTCTTGCGTTCTGTATTAAGCTGATATGTTCATAAACAAACTTAAAACAGAATACAAATAGAATTCATAACTTCTTTTAAAAAAATTCCCCCGCAAGAGCTAGAAAAATGCCTTCAGAAGATTTATTTGTCGGCAAGAAAACGCGACGAACCTTCGGTCATTGCGTGCCGAGATTGCAGTTGTTGGCAGCAGTAAATGAGTTAAAAATCATCTCTCTTTTTTTTGCCCAGTTATCTCACTGTCTTAGTATGTACTAACACAATTATTCACCTCAGTGTCGTTGGCTAGAGGTGAAAATTTACCTCGCCGCTTCGCGGCACTGTAAATCAGCAGCCACCGACACTGAGGTGAATAATTGTTATCTATATTATTCTCAACGTAGAAAAATTGCATACTATCCGTCCACAGTGGGAGTGAAGCTCAACAAACAATAATATTCAACACCAATTTCTTTCTAGCCGTTCACATGGCAAAGCGCGGACGAAAATCAAAAGTAGGGCGGGCGATAATATGAGGGGGATTGGGCCTGAGAGCTGCTCACCCCAGATCCCTCCTATTTTTGTTCGCTTTATTTTTCGCCCCATCTCCCCCCCCCCTCCCACCACCACCCCCTCCACCATCTAGATAACTAATTCCTCAAAGAAAAAATCAATGAATATAGTGAGAACTAGTGACAAAAATGATCAGATGCATATCAAGTCATGAGTTATGAAATTTGATTTTTTTTTGTAGGTCAGCCCCGGGTGTTGCCTGTCTAGCCTGCGGGATTTATAGTGCGCAACTGCTTCTTTGCAAGGGTTCACTATGCACGACGGCGCTACGACCCATAAAGTACCCCTACATTCTGATCCCGCCGGATGCACAGGAAATGCGCTTGTGTGTGTCCCCAAATACGCTTCAAAAGAAAACCTCCCAGCTAGGCTAAGACCGTGTCCACCTGAATCTGGACATTTTTGAAACAGCACATTTTTATCCGGATTCGTGTGGACCAAGTGTGTTACACATCCGTTTTTAGTGTCGTCACGCAACGCTCCTTCCCACAAAGGAGCGTTACGTGACGACGACGACACTAAAAACGGCTGTGTACCGCTGTGTAGAACACTAGTGTGGACTGGTTCTTAAACCGCTCTCGACAGCGGTTTCAAAAAAGATGCGGTTTCGGTGTCCGGATTCCCTGGTTTTGTGTGGACAGAAGGCCGATTCGTGTTAAAAAAGTATGCGGTTTCAAAAATATCCAGATTCGTGTGAACATAGACTGCCAACACATCCGTTTTTTAGTGTCGTCAGGCAACGCTCGTCCACACAAAGGAGCGTTGCGTGACGACACTAACAGACTAGTGTGGACGGGGTCTTTAACCGCTCTCATGTGGAGAGCGGTTTCTGTGATCGGATTCACTGGTTTCGTGTGGACGGAGGGCCGTTTCGTGTAAGAAAGTATGTGGTTTCAAAAATATCCGAATTTGTCTGGACATAGTGAAGTATAGAGACCTTGAAATAGAATGTCGTAAGTGTTTCGTTTGTCGTCTCGGTTAA